TCACAGTAGATTGCTGCTTTAGAACATCATAGATTTCCTTTTGACATAACAGCATTTGATGGTAATGCTTGATACATTTAATTCTTCAGAACAGACATTGTAATGCTCCAGTGCCTAGGAACATTTGACGTTCTCGTTATTTAACAGCATCCTGTTCTCCCTTCAACTATTTAATAATGCATATGTAATTTGGTATAGTCTCTGTAGAATTTGGAGAAGTGAGAATACCTCACTTAATAGATTATTCTTGTATGGATGAGTAACCTGCCTGCTTGTTAAGCTCCGTAGGGGAGACAACTCCACGGATATGCCTTTTATTGTAGCTGTTTTGCATTCTGTCTGGGATTTTTTTTTTTTTTTTCAGTTTTGACCTTATTGGTATTTAGGTTCTCTGATAGGATGAGTCAGTCCTCAGGTGTGTTGAAAGTTCCAACGCTTTGGCAGGTGTGTTTCATTAGTGCCTCTGGGCATTTGGATGATGTTACCAAGTGTTTAGGAAGCAGCCCAAATCTCAGATCACTCCCTCAGATCCTCCCTTGGTGGGCCTATCTCTCAGGAGTCATTGACATTTCAGCTTTAATTTCCACATCAGTACAATGAGAGACATAGTAATTTTTTTCTTTCTTTTTTTATTTTTACTGACTAATTTCAAACTGTGGGGGCTATTAGTGCCTTTAGAATAGCTTCTTGAATTATCCATGGAAGTTTTCAGAGAGCTGTCAGGATAAGACCTCTGAAGCTAATGGGATTTCCTCATTGTTTTGCTTCATTTATGTCATGTAGCCACAAAAACACCAACAGAACCCTAATTAGACTACAAGAAATAAGGTGTATGAGAGCTTAAAGAAAGGAAAAATGAACGTGAAAACATTCTTTAGGAAAAAAACAAAGATGAATGATTTGTTAGCATATAGCTGATAAAAAATAGCAGGATGATTGTGTTTGAGAACTCATGTTTTAAAGATGGCAAACATCTCTCCTTCCTCCTATTCTTCTTATTTTACCTTATCACTGGCATGCCTTTGTGAATTTTTTTTTCTAGAAGGTAAGTTCTGTGAGAGCAGGGGCTATGTCTGTCTTGTTCACCTTTATTCCTTGGTGACTATTGTGGAGCCTAGTACTGGTAAATGCTCAGTACATATTCTAAAAATACATGATTAGCAATTATAATGAGAGCCTCCATCTATTGAATGCCTACTCTGTGACAGGTACTGTGCTAGACACTTCATATACAGGTTAAAACAGTAACCCTTTGAAGTAAATATTATCTTCCTAATTTTAACAGATATTTAAAGCTAAGGCCCCCCCACCAAAAGTAACTCTCAAATTACTAAAGCCTTTATCAAATTATAAAACCTTCCTCCCTTTCCTTTGCTTGCTTAACTGCTTTTCCTGATTTCACTCTCTAAGGAGAAAAAGATAAAGGCCAACCTTATGAATTCTTGCAAGAAAAAAAAAAAAACCCAGCAGAAATCTACAATCTTCAAGGTGTTGTGATAAGGGTAGAGGTGGGCAGAGTAGGGAGCCTACCTTTTCTGGATCATACAGGGCTGGGCAGTGCTTAGAGGAGAGGGGAATTGAGAAAGCAAGATGGTGGGGACAGGATGGAGTGGACAGGAGGGTGAAAGTGGTAAGCTAGAAGAGTGACAGCTCTGGGGGAGTTAATAAGACCTATTGGCCCTGGAGGTGCAGTGGTTAAGCATTTGGCTGCTAACCAAAAGGTTGGCAATTTGAATCCACCAGCCACTCCTTGGAAACCTTACGGGGCAATTCTGCTCTGTCCTATAGGGTCGCTGTGAGTTGGAATCGACTCAACAGCAACAGGTTTGAGTTTTTTGGTTTTATTGTTGTCTACGTATTTGATTCTTTAAGAATGTGTGATAAGGAAGTATGTCAGGAATAAACTTGCTGCAGGGCCAGTGCTTCTTTTAATAAGGTCATGCTTTTGACTGGACTAGAGCCTCTGAGACTTCTAGACATTGGAGTAGGTATACTGAGAGATGTGGTACCCATGGCCACAGAATGTAACCCTGTCTTACTATGTCCACCAGGACCCCCTGCTGTCTTAGGCTCACGAGGATCCCAGGCTTCTTCCCTCTTTCATTGTTCTCAGGCTTATTCCTGTCCCATTCCCAAAGCCTCTCTATGCCCCAACAGGCCTCAAATCTGGGTCACTGCATACTGTCTGACATCTGAAGCCCTTTGGCAAACCATCTGGGAAAGACCTAAGCACTGGGTTCTCCCTCTTATCTTTTCTAAGGGCTTAAACAAGTTAATATACTCACCTTCACTTTTCTTCTTTTGTAAAGCGAGTAGCATTTACCCCTACTACTTTGTAAAGTGCTGTGAGGATCAATTGAGATAAAGAACTATAGCAGTGATTATTAATAAAGTTTATTCCAGCCATTTAGCTTTGAAAACTTGTAGTCTTTCATCCATTCAGCACATGTTTTTTGAGCACCTACCATATAGTAGGTATTGTTATATTCTGGAGATAGAGCAGTGAACAAAATAGACAAAAATCCCTTCTCTCATGGACCTTACATTCTAGTGGGGAGAGACAGTCAATACTCAAGTAAGCATACAGTATGCCAGGTGATGATGGTGCTATGGAGAAAAGAGGAGTGGGGAAGGAGAAGTGTTACTATTTTAAATGGGATGACCAAGGAGGGCCCCACTGTGAAGTTACCATGTGAGCAGTAATCTTAAAGAGGTAAGGAAGCAAGACTTGGGGTTATCTGAAAGAAGAGTGGTGTAGGCCAAAGTGAACTACTGGTGCCAAAACCCTGAGGTGAGAGCATGCCTTGTTGGGGAGGGAGTTGGGAGAAAGCAGTAAGAGAAGGGGTCAGAGTGGTCATGGAGGCCAGTTCATTAGGAGCCTTATAGATCTCTCTAAGGACTTTGGTGTTTGCTGTAGGTGACAGGGGAGCCAGTGGAAGGTTTGAATTTTCAGTGAGGTAGGAAGCCAGGCCATGGGCTGAGAAAGGATGGAGGAAGAGATGATTACCACGTTTGTTTTCTTCACATCAGTAGTTACCCACTGTCCTGTCACTTGTACCATTAGATTGTTTCTTGTGTTCCTTCTTCATTTCCGTTACTACCACCTTAGGAAAAAAACCTAAGCCCATTGCTGTCGAGTCCAGTCCAACTCATAGCGACCCTATAGGACAGAGGAGAACTGCCCCATAGGGTTTCTAAGGAGAGCCTGGTCGGGTCAAACTGCTGACCTTTTGGTGAGCAGCCAAACTCTTAACCACTACACCACCGGGTTTTCTGCTACCACCTTACTCCCAAAAAAACACCAAACCCGTTGCTGTCAAGTCAGTTCCAGCTCATAGCAACCCTATAGGAAAGAGGAAAACTGCCCCATAGAGTTTCCAAGGAGCACCTGGTGGAATCAAACTACTGACCTTTTGGTTAGTAGCCATAGCACTTAACCACTACACCACCAGGGTTTCTAGTACCACCTTAGTCAAGTTCAAATCACACAATGTCTGTGTTGTTGTAGCTTAATACTCTCTCAGCCACCAACTTTTTTCTTTTGCAATCTGTGGTATATACAACTGTTGGCTAACTCTTCCTAAAATACCAATCTCTTTCTGTCGGGGTTCTGCTCAAAAACCTTCCTTGCCTTCCCGTTAAAGAGGATAAAGTCCACTTACTTCAGTGAGAGCTTTAGGACTCTGACAAGCCCCTCTTTGTTCAGCAAGACAGGTTATCATCTCACCAGGCCCTGAACTCACCACCCTTCCTATTGCTTCTGTACGTCTGATGGTATAAACTTGTTCTGTGGCCTAAGGGCAGCTATCAGACTTCTGTATGTACCTCTTTTTCCTCATCTGTAAAATAGGGACTATAATGAAACATATGATTGTTTTTAGGATTCAGTGAGACTACCACAGGAAAATTATTTAGTAAGTTCTGGCATAGAGCGAGTATTCAATAAACCTAAGCAGCTATTAATATTACTATTGTTGTTATTATTATTTTTATTTTTCCGACTAAAACCCCAGCCTCTTTCTTCCTAATCAAATATTCCGTGTCTCCTAAGACACAGCTGGTCTGTTTTGTCCGAGACAAAGTCTTTGTTGCTCATCTTCTCTTGCCTATACTGATCTGTCTTTCTTCTGTTTTCCCCTTATTTTAGTGTATAACCATATACTCTGTGCAAATGTGGTTTTAATACTCCAATGTTGGAATACCCCAAACTTCTTGACAGGAAAGGTCATGGCTGTTGACCTCTTACAGCCTTATTACCTATAAAGTTTCTGTACTATCGTACTATCAAGACCTTAGATTTTACAGGTCTTGAACAAGTCTAATGCTGACTTGTTCGACTTGTCAAAGTAAATTCCTTTGTTATTAAATCCTGAAACCCGAAATTCTTCTTTCTCCGGTGCCTGCTTGGGGTGTGCAGCGGATCTGCAGCCTGATTCCCAGGACTGTCTCTCACCTTCCAGAGACTTTGCAGGAACTGTCTCCCATGATCTCCCCCTTCCTGGCACTTTCAATACTATTAGTTAGTTATACCCATTCCTCATGGCCTCGCCTTCCTTTCCTCTGCATCCTCCAGTATGAGAAACCTCTTTCCTGTCCCTTAAGAGACCAGTTGCCCGTCTCCAAGCTTCGTTTCCTCCTTTCGTCTCTTTCCTAAGGCACCCTTACTTTGAAGAGGCTGCTGAAAAGGAGTAGATTATTTCATCTTTTCTGATCAGTAAAAGTAGGAGGCTTCATAAAGAAAATTGGCAAGATCTAGAGTTATTTGCATTTCATAAGAATCAAAAGTTTTCTAAGTTTTTTTTTTAAAGAACTTCCAAATATACAAAAAAAAAAAAAAAAAAAATTGATCCAAATGTTGAAACATCTGCTACAGATCTGGAGGCTTTGAATTTAGCAGCTTTAGTTTGGGAGCAAGAAATCCTCTGAATTAGAAAGTATTTTGCTATTAGTTGGCTCGGTGTACCATTTCATCTCAATGCTATTCTTCCCTTTCCCTTCAGAATACAGCCATGCCAAAGAGCTTGTCTGTGTACCTGTGGATGTGACAGATACTTTGAAGTGTTTTAGAGAAACCTTGGAAAAATCCAAATATTACAACAGATCAATCCGACACAGCAGAAAGTTGCTCTCATTATTTCTTGCACAGACACAAGGTAAAACACTTGTTCTGTATCCCTTAATTTTTATTTTTGTGAGGTTCCCACCCTGAGGCTCTATCAGATTTGCTGCAATGTTCTTCCTTTCCTTCTTCCTTTCACCCACTTAGATGCCTGCTCTCTGCTGCCTTTCATTTTCTGCTTCTTGTCTGCTGGATCGCTTCTTCTCTCTCTCAAGCTTCACTGCAGCCAAGGCACCTTCTCATTCACTGGCTTTCATACGTCTGTGAAACTAGCATACTCTCTTGAGTATAGTCCATGTGAAACCCTTATTTGTTAATTTTTAAATTCTGTGCATCTGTGTTCTTACAATTTTCTTTGCAGGTGCAGTGTATGGTTTTGTTTTACTTTCATAAGTAGATGGGTTGATTTCATACTGAATTAACTAGGTCTTTTTAGTAAAAGCATCAATATTGAAGAAATGGATGAGTTTTAAAATAAGCATCAGTGAGATTTCTTAATATCTTAGATTTTGATTTTAGAGATTCTTTTTTAACTTAAAGCAAGATATTCACTATTGTTGTTTACATTACATTTATTTGTTTTTTTCTTTCTCCACGTCCATCAGTGTGTGAACTCAAACAAAGTAGGGCTTTGACTGGTTAGCCAGTAACCTTTGAGAAGAAGATTATACTCAAATTTTGGCTAGTAAAAATCCAGATATTTATGTGACTAAAAATTATTTTAAATCCTAATTTATGCTTATGGTCGCTGCTGTTGAAATTTATGAAAATAATCAGAAATTCTTTTTGTAATTTATTTTATTCATTTTTTATTGTTGCTAAGACTATACACAGCAAAAAATACACCAATTTAAGTGTTCCACATGTACAGTTCAGTGACCTTGATTACATTCTTTGAGTTGTGCAACCAATATCACCCTCTTTTTCTTAGTTGTTCCTCCCGTTAACATAAACTCATTGCCCCCAGGATTCCTATCTAATCTTTCGAGTTGCTTTTGTCAGTTTACTCTCATATAGATAGATCTTAAAAGAGTATAATGCTCAAGGCAGACATTCTTTACTAGTTAAGCTAAACTAGTGTTTGGTTAAGAAGACTTCAGGGGATATTTCTGGTTTAAGGTTTAAACATTATCTTAGGGCAATAGTTTTGAGATTCATCTAACCTCCATGCTCCAGAAAATCTGGATTCCATGAGAATTGAAATTCTGTTCTGCATTTCCTTCCTTTTGATCAAGATTCTTCCATAGAATCTTTGAGCAAAATATTCAATAATGGTAACGAGGCACCGTGAAATTCTGGTCTCTTGGCAAAGGAGAAAGTTGTTCTTGGAGGATATTAGGCACACATTCTATTTCCTGCTTGTATTCCTGACTCTCCCTCTTCTTGTATTGCCTCAGGCAGTAGAGAACAATTATTGTGCCTTAGATGGCTGCTTACAAGCTTTTAAGACCCTAGCCACTACTCAAGGATCTAGGAGGTAAAACAGAAGCACTAAACACAATATTAAGCCAATTAACTGGAATGTCCCATGAAACCATGACCCTAAACCCCCAAACCAAGGAACCAATTCCATGAGATGTTTGGTTGTATGTAAGCAGCTTCAGCAGCTACTCTTTTTTTTTTTTTGTTATTGTTGTAAATGTATCTATCACACAACTTTTGCCATTTAGAATAATAAGAAACATTTAATATAATTATATTTTGAAGTTATCAAAAATAGATTTTAACTTATACCTTATTGAGATATTGACTAATTTCCACTGAACTGATCTTTTAAAGGACCCCTGCTGGTGCAGTGGTTAAGAGCTCGGCTGCTAACAAAAAGGTCGGCTGTTCAAATCCACCAGCCGCTCCTTGGAAACCCTACAGGGCAGTTCTACTCTGTCCTATAGGATTGCTATGAGTTGGAATCAACTCAACAGCAGTGGGTTTTTTTTGTTGGTTTGTTTTTTGACCTTTTGAAAGTTTGACCAAATTTTTTTAAATTAAAATCATGGAAGCTATTTAAAAGGAAGAAATCTCAATCACTGCCAACCACTGTGAAGTATTTTATTGATAATTAATATACTTAATTTTTAAATATAATTAGTTTTCATTTCGTATTGTACCTCTCTGCCATATTGTTTTATACAAATACATTATTGTACAGAGGAAACTACACACTTTATTTCTGCCAGGCAAAGTAGGAATTAAAACAATATCCAAATATTTGGATAAAAAATGAAGTTTTTTATATATCAAAGTTTTTATATGTAATTTTATAACCATTTAAGGGTACTATTACCAGGTGAAGACATCCTGTTATTTATTTAGTGAATATCCTTTTTGGGATCATGAAAGTCCTGGGTCTCTAATCTAAGAGATGTGTGCTAAAAATCTCTTTAGTAGAACCCTAAAATTATGCACTTTCCATTAAATTGTACTTTAGCCATAACACTTCTTTAGAGTGATATTGAAAAAGCAAATACAGTTCCTAAAAATGGCTTCTACCAACTCACTCTGAACTTCACCTGGTACCAAAATATTCTCAGCAGTTGATCTTCAGTCCTCAGGCTGTAGACTTCAAAATCCATATTAACTTTTCTCTCTGCTGCTTTTGACTACTTCCCCTAGAATATTTTCTTTCTTTCTTTTTTTTTTTCTCCCTGTGTGTTCTCTGATCTTATAAAGAGAGTTTTTTTTTTTTCCTTTTTCAGCCCAGATCTACTTCTGTGTTGCTTCTATCCCAGAGGTCTCTGCCCCAGGGGCAAACTAACATCTTAGTGTTGGAAGCTGTTTAAAAAAAAAGGCAAACCCAAACCCAAACTTTGTATCTTCCATCATTCCCAAGAGAAACAAAGCATAATCTCAACATTTACTTCCTGGCTAACTGCCCTTCTGTAGTGTTCTTATGAAATAACATGGGTATAGAGCCCGTCCACACATTCTGGGCTCCTCAGAAATGATATTAGATCCTAAGTTTAAGGGAACAATGTCCCTCAAACTGCAAGTAAGTCTCAGCTATATATAAAATCTTCCCTTCCTTCTCCCTTTCCATTTACTCTACCTTTATCCCTCCCCAACAACTTCCTATCTTTCTCCATTTTTTAATTTCTTTCTTTCTTTTTTTTTTTAAATGTATTTAGGAGACAGAGGAGGAATAAACAATTCAAATTTTACCCCTGGAAAGGTGGAATTTTGTCTGGGAACAGAGGAGATGCATTTGCCAACGCCCCCTGACCTTTCTCAGGAACACTTCAGAGTTTTTAGTTCCGTGGAGAAAAGCAAACTTCCCTCTTCACAACTTGGACTTGTAATTTCTTCTTATTACAAAACCATTGGTAAGGTTTATTAATTAGGTTTTCATTTTCTTTATTTTTTAACAGCTTGTCGAGATGCAATTCACATACTATATATTTCACCCATTTAAAATGCACAATTCAATGGTTTTTAGTATATTCAACGGATATGTACAATCATTACCACAATCAGTTTTAGAACATTTTCATCATGTATTCATTTTCAGTACAATATTCTGCATTAATGTTGACATTGCAGTTGGACCTGAAATATTGTCTTTAAAAGTAGGGTAAAAGAGCTTCAAGATAGATTCTATGCGTATTTATTTAGTGAATATGTAGGCAGTGACAGAGCAGTGTGGAGATAGAAGAGGCTTCTAACCCCTTCCTGTTTGAGCCCACTGTTGTAGCCACTGTGTCAGTTATCTCTTTTTCACTGACCTTCTGCTTTACCAAGCATGATATCCTTCTCCAGGGACTGATCCTTCATGATAACATGTCCAAAGTAGGTAAGACGAAGCCTCACCATCCTCCCTTCTAAGGAACATTCTGGTTGTACTTCTTCCAAGACAGACTTGTTTGTTCTTCTGGCAATCCATGGTATATTCAGTATTCTTGGCCAACATCATAATTCAAAGGCATCAATTCTTCTTCGGTTTTCCTTATTCATTGTCCAGCTTTCACATGAATATGAGGCAATTGAAAATACCATGGCTTGGGTCAGGCGCACCTTAATCCTCAAGGTGACATCTTTGCTTTTTAACACTTTAAAGAGGTCTTTTGCAGTAGATTTTCCCAGTGCAGTACATCATTTGGTTCCTTGACTGCTGCTTCCATGGGCATTGATTGTGGATCCAAGTCAAATGAAATCCTTGACAACTTCAGTCTTTTTCCATTTATCATGATGTTCCTTGTTGATCCAGTTGTGAGGATTTTTGTTTTCTTCATGTTGAGATGTAATCCTTACTGAAGGCTGCTATTAGCTTTCAGTTTACATTGAAGAATAATGCAATTTAGAATATTGTTGCAAATATAAGGAAATATTTTTCAGGAGCTGATATTGTTCTTTCACTTGATTAAAAATACAGATGTTCTCCAAGCCAGCCATCAAAGAAGTCTGAAAGTCCAGGCACTGCATGAGCTTGGAAGTCTTCTCGTCTTTGCAGAGAAGAAAAGGTAGTTTTTTTTTTTTTTTTTTAGGAATTGGTAGCACAAGGGCAAACTTTTTTTTGTTTGAAAAAATTTTTAATTACTATGAAGAAATACTGTCTTTCATAAATTTTAGTTATCCAATAATACTACATTGCTACATTTTAGTCATCAAATACTACCTGAGAGAAACTGTCATTTTATGAGAAATGAATAATATTGATTTATTCTCTAATATTTTGATTAAAATATTTCTTGAGTTTATTTGTTTTCCCTTTTGGAAAGTAGATTTAACAACATAGTCATAAAACATATGCCTTGATGCTTTTTTTCTGTTACAGGACTGCTTTTAAGTGTTGGTGTCAGGCTCTTGATGACATATTCAGAAAATCAAACGTGCTACATACATGGAAAGAGTTTGGCACATCGTTCGCTAATACCAGTGACAGCTGTTCACCTCCAGGTTTTAAAGACTACAGTGAGGAATTTCTGTCAAAAGTTGGCATTTGGGGATGTTTGCAAGGAGCAGTCATATCAGCAAAGATAGCACAGTGAGTGTGCCGGTAGAGTAATAGGCATAAGAACATAATAGCCTCTTTTTGTGGGGCACCCACCTGTGCTATGCAGAGTGCTAGGTGCCTCACTGACACTGGGCACTTGGGCAGTTATGTTCCTATAATAAAGACACGAGTACAGAGATATACTGTTTACTTATTTATTATGTTTATTCTTTATGGCCATCTCCCTTCCTGTAACAACTTCCGCCTCCTCTAATGTGAACACCACGTGGGCATAGGTCTTTACTTTGTTCACTGGTATATCCCAAGTGCCTGGCACAGAGTTGGCATCCAGTAACTATTTGTTGAACACATGAATGAATGAACAATAGAATAACAATATGAAGTTAAGCTGACTTGGGCCTATTTCAAGAACCTTGATATTAGCCTTTTAGCTTTTTAGTATTAAGAATATTAATATGCTTAAATACTTTAAAAGTATTAAACATTAACAATTTTTAAAACCTCTATCAAGTTTAAGTTTTTGCGTTCCTGGGAAGAAACTCATCCTTACACACATACACGCACGCACGCACGCACGCACGCACGCACGCACACACGCACACATGCACACACACACGAGTTTGGGCTTATGACCTAGTAGAACTTGGCAATGAAAAATAGAAAAGCTGAGGTAGGTTCACAGCTTGGAAAAGAACAGCTATAGCGTTCCTGCCAGAGGGCACCTTAGCTTTGCTGAGCCTCTGAAGTTACTACCTGGTGATTTTTAATAACCAACAGAAGGTTACTTCCCAGTTACCCAGCTGGAAGTCTGACTTCTACAGAATCTGTGATTCTACAGAGGCTTCCAGCTGTCATTGTAGACTTCTTGAGTAGAAGAAACTCTTTCCCCCACTGCTCAGAAGGGTGAAATATCGCCCTCTAATATCCACACGGAGAAGCTGAACTTAGAAAGACATTGTTCCTAATGTAGCAAAGCTGTTTGGTTCTATCTAAGTAAGACAGGAGAAGGTATTGTAGGTTACAGTTGCAAATGCGAGTTTCATGATCCTTGTAAAGCAAGCACAAATTCTTCTAAGGTACATAAGATAAGATACTAGTAAATGAAGAGACATTCCCTTAATTTTTGTGGAGAGATATGTTGTCAATGGCTCCATAATGCTGCTGAGAAAATACATTGGTTCAGTCTTTTGGGGGAGTTATTTAATAGTACTTACCAAAAGCCTTAAAACTGTACACCTCCTTTTACCAAAAGATTCCACTTCTAGAGGTTTCTCCAGTACAGTAATTGCACGAGTGCTAAAGAATGTAGATACAACAATATTTACCTCAGAATTAGAAAAAAATAAACTGAAGTTAGTATTTTTATATTATGGTACATCCACATGATAAAATATTAAAGTTCTTTAAAATATTGTTGTAGCTTGTTATGTCCATGAGTGGAAAAAATTGTTTATAAAATAGTGTGTGTTGCATAGTTCTAGTCTTAATGTGTGTATATATGTGTGTGCGTGTGTGTATCAACTGCAAATAGAAAAAAATTCTAGAAGAGAATTGATTAAAATATTACCAATAATCATCTTTAGTTGGTAGGATTGTTGTTGTGTACTGTCGAGTCGATTCCAACTCATAGTGACCCTATAGGACAAAGTAGAACTGCCCCATAGGATTTCCCAGGAGCAGCTGATGAATTTGAATTGCTGACCTTTCAGTTAGCAGCCTGAGCTGTTAACCACTTTGCCACCAGGGCTCCAGATGGTAGGATTATAGGTGATTTTTCACTTTCTATTTTTCTGTGTCTACATCTTATATGCATATGCAGCACTTTTAGAATCATAAAAACTACTTTAACTGTGGAAAACTCTATGAGTTTTGGAGATACATATTACAGGTTCTCCCCACTATCCAAAAGTAGAGCATCCCTATGAAACCGTTGATAAGGTGAACTGGCGTAAATCAAAGAAGCAATTAGCATTAATTTATATGGGAAAATATTTTGAGTGTTCCCAGACCCAAAAAATAACTTACCAAATCATACCAAATAACACATAAAACCTAAGCTAACACTAACATATAGTAAAAGCAGGAATGGTATGATAAATGCACAGCCTATATAAAGTAGAAATTATGTATGTACAGGTAGTTTCAGACACAGTTCAAAGCTATGGCAGCGTGATGCTGAGATGCAGAGTGTAGTTCCTGGGGAAGAAGCTCGGCAACGCCACTCTCGCTGCTCAGGGTGTGCGCTGCCTCTTTAGCAGCTCGCTGCAAAACAAACGCTGAACCCTATTTCTGCTTTTTGCCTTTTTTCCTAAAAGTGAAAATCTTCTTCTGGTTTCTTCCGATTAGCGAAAACAGGTACTAATGTAGATCTTCCGTAAAAGCAAAAGGGGTAAAGTGAACTTTTGAAAAGTGAGGGATAGCTGTATGTCAAAATACTTTTGGAAAAGTGTCTACTAATCAATGTCTTTTTCTTATACTCATTTAGATTTATTAAGACATTGAATGTTAAAAAGAGAATCAACTGTTGCATTTTGTCTGCATTACTCTTTCAGGTAAGTCTTTGATTATGTATACTTTTCTGTAGTAGCATGACCGTTCATTCAATCAGCAAAAAAAGGTGCAGTAATTTGTAATATTCATAAAACTCACAGGTAGGAAAATTGCATGAACCTTGATTAAATATCGTAGGCCCATTTTTCTTTAGCTGGCTGAACCAGCTATGACACCTTCAGCTTTAATATTCAGCAGTCAGTTTTCCCCTTAAGATTACCAAAGAGGGAGTTTTACTGATACGGAAACCAAGTCTCTTGTTGCTAGTAAAATCATGGTGCTAGTGAGCAATGAAGTGGGCCTGTTTGACTCCAAATGGTTGACTTAGCTTACCTCATCTCTAAATAAAATTTTGCTTGGTTGCATGATGTAAAATGTATAATATGATGGGGGAAAAATAATAAGTTGAAGACTACAGAAATAGAGCATTTGTAGTTCTCAGGGTTTTGGTTTGACTTTACTGAAGAAGAAAGGAGCTTTTATCTGAAATACAAGACATTTTGAGATTCTGAGATGTTGCCATGGGTCTTTGCAATCTACTAAAGGTTCTGTTTACTTTGAAGGATGGACACCCTTGTTCTGTGTATCAGAGGAGTCTGATTAGCTTGTGAAATCTGGAGAGAGAAGTTCTCTGGGAAAGGCATCTCTGAATATGAGGCCAGATGTTTCAGTTTTCTTGTGTTCCACATTCCTCTTGCCTATACTTCAAAAGGAAGAGGCAGAAGAGGCAAGAGTACAAAGGGAATGATAATCAGTTTCCAGTTACTTAAATGTTGTATTCTTTACTTTCTGATACTCCTTATTCTTGACTATAACTCTGTTTATGCTTTAGAAAATAAGTGATTTTAAAAATATTCTGTAACATAATTTCTTAGTTACACTATACCTAAAATAAAAATTACTCAGTATGATTTATTTCAAAAACCTGCCAATTTTTTGAGATAATTTTAAAGCAGATTGGTAAAATTAAACATAGTATTTTTAAAGTAGAATATAACTTTTATAAATAACCTGACTGAAATTATTTTCTGATATATACATTAAATTTATAATGCATTTGTCATTAAGAAGTGTTAATTATTTAATATAGTATAAAAAAGCCACTCCTAAATGTTAAATTAGATTTTGCATATTCCTCTTATTTCTCCAGCATCTAGTACATATACATATACAATATCCAAGAATATTGGTAAAATTAAAGAGCTCTTTTTTTCACATAATACAGTTAAAAGTTCAGCATACCTCTGTCTGATTTAGACTTCTTCTGAAATAAGTTGTCATTCCTTCTAGTTATAGCTTGGTATAGTGGCAAGAAAGAAGCCCTCGTGGTGCAGTGGTTAAGCACTTGGCTGCTAACCAAAAAGCTGGCAGTTTGAATTCATCAGCCACTCTGGGAAAGGAAGATGTCAGTCTGCTTTCATAAGGATTTACAGCTTTGGAAACCCTATGGGGTAGTTCTACTCTGTCCTATAGGGTAGCTATGCACTGGACTTGACTTGATGGCAACGAGTTTGATTTTTTTGGTTATAGTGGAAAGAGCATAGATTTTTGAGTTAAATAGACATGACTTTAAATCTTCTTTCTGCCATCATGAGCTATGTGACCTTGGGAAAATTAATTTTATAAGTCCCAGTTGTATCATTTGTGAGATAATAATTCTTACATTCTAGGAGTGGGTTAAAGGAGAATTAAATGAGATAATGTTTATAAGGAACCTACTAACAGTACCCAACAAAATTAACCCTCAGCAAGTATTGATATTATAATAATTTCTTCTAAAAATAGTAATAACAGAATAATACTTCTTTGTGAATAGTATCAACTACTATGAAATTCAAAAGACCTTTCTTGAATGATGAAAGCATTTGAAACCTATAATGATGACAATATTAATGATAAAACCAGTTGTCATCAAATTGATTTTAACTACTGGTGATGTCGTGTGTCAGAGTAGAACTGTGCTCCATAGGGTTCTCAATGACTGATTTTTCAGAAGAAGATCACCAGGACTTTCTTTCAGTGTGCCTTTAGGTGGACTTAAACTTCCAACCTTTTGGTTAGCAACTGAGTGTGTTAACCATTTGCACTACTCAGAGGTGTGCTAGATCTGTGCTAGGTACTTTAGGAAGTAATCTGTGTGCTTCTTATTTTGGTTCATTTGTGCAAATGCAATTTGATAGCTCTTTACTTCACCTTTTTTTCGTTTTCAGGGCTTGCTGAGAACAACCCTTCCACATCCCAAAGCTGAGCATTGTTATGCTCAGTATGAAATTATTCAACTTCTTCCAGGCATTGAGCTCTTCTCAGATAGATACAGGGCTGACATTTGCTCTGTAGTTGCAAGTCTTTATTACATTATACGGGAACTGCACTTTGCTCAGCAAAATCTAATGGTAAGTAATTTGTAAAATCATCTAATCTTAATTCATTGTGGCATTTTTGCCCCATTTACCTTAGACTTTTCAAATTTTGCTAATATTCTTTTGGTCAGTTCTTGTTTAACTTTTAAATCTTACATAGTTAAAATTCTTTGCTGTACTTTGTTAGAAATAAAATATAGTAATCTATGTTCTTGCTTTGACATCATTACATTTTGGATTTTAAAAAATCTAATTGACTTTGTTCTCTTTTTTACTCTATTATTTTAGCTGGTTTTTTTTTTTTTTTTCCTGAAAGCATTTGGTGAAATTGATTAGAATGTGTCACTGATCTCAAACATAGGAATTTAGTGCACATGTAACTTGCTGCATTAAGTCATTTAGTTTATATAATACCCAAACTATGAGAGTGTTTTTTTTTTGTTGTTGCTTTGTTTGTTTTTTATTGAAATGAGTTTATCTTTGTGTCTCTTGTCTTTTCCCTGTTGAGAGTGCATCCAAATTAACAACAAATTCTAAGTGTGAAATAAGACAGACGTTTCTTTATGTCCTAGGAAAGCCAAAACCCCAATACAAGTTTCTTTCCATTTGGGGAAAGAAATCACGGTATATGTCATAATTTGAAGTAGGTCGTGTTTTAAAAATAAATTAGTATGTTTTAAAAATTCTTGGTCGTTTTCTTAGTTATCTAGTGCTGCTATAACAGAAATACCACAAGTGGATGGCTTTAACAAACAAGAGTTTATTCTCTCACGGTCTAGGAGGCTAGAAGTCCAAATTCAGGGTGCCAGCTTCAGGGGAAGGCTTTTTCTCTGTGTTGGCTCTGGGGGAAGGTCCTTGTCATCATCTTTCCCTGGTTGAGGAGTTTCTCAGCGTAGGGACCCCAGGTCCAAAGGATGCACTATGCTCCCGATGCTTCTTTCTTGTTGATATGACGTCCCCGTCTCTGCTCGCTTCTCTCTTGTATGTCTCAAAGAGATTGTCTTAAAACACAGTCTAATCTTGTAGATTGAGCCCTGCCTCATTAACATAACTGCCACTAATCCCATCTCATTAACATCATAGAGACAGGATTTACAACACGTAGGAAAATCACATCAGATGACAAAATGATGGACAGTCACACAATACTGGGAATCATGGTCTAGCCAAATTGAAACACATATTTTTGGGGGACACAATTCAGTCCATGACAGTCGTTTAACATTTTCCTCCTTTATCTTATTTCTCCTATTTTCCTCCTTTATGCTGTTTCTTCTGTTTTTTAATACTTCTTTATTCCATACATTTCTCTCTTAATATCTATTCCTTTTTTTCTGATTTTCTTCTGTTTATAATTTTCATACCTACTCTATTTTTTTCACATTTTTTTCTATTCTCCTGGTATGTTTGTTCCTCTAATTCAAATTCTATCTTATACTGAAAACATTTACTGCCCCCAATATGAGTTGTTAAATTATAAGAATATATGTCAAAGTAAAGAGGTTGATAAATGCTTTTAACACTTGGCAGATTTGGCAAGAAATTGTTTATTGGAAAAAAATAACAAAATAGTGCTTCTCTCATTGTTAAGGAGATTCATTTCTGGATTTAGAAAGTAGTTCTATCCCCTAGATAAGCTTTAGCTGCCTAGTCATATTCATATATAATACATATCACTGCATTTGGAAAGGAAATGAGAGGTTTTTTTCTTCTAAAGCTTAAGAAATTGAGAACGTTTTTCCGAATAATTGAGCAATTGGCAGCAATAAAAATATTATTTTTATTTCTCACTAAAGAAAAACTAAATCTCAAAGGTAATCGTATACTCTTATTGTTTTGTACTGCATTAATTGTAGAAAAGGTACTGTATGATGTTTGTAGTGTATAATTGTAGAAAAAATATTGTATTATGTTTGAAATCATAAGACCAATTCTAATCTTTCTAAAAAGATATTGCTATTAACAGCTGCCAGTTGACTGACAATTAGAGATTCCCCAGCTGATCTTGCAAGATATAAAAAGCTTCCATTTTGTATTATATTAACCTTGTCTCGAAGAAGCCCAGAGGCTAAGAAGACTTCTGAGACATTTAAAATTTGCTATGGGACCCAGAGCTGTGGAATCATGGGAAATATTTTCTAGATAATAGGAATCCCAGTGCCCTTTCTTACTCCATCTCCCATTTGGTAGGACAGGATACAGTTGCAGGAACTGAGCTTCAGGTCTGAGTTGAGATCAGTTTCTATGTGCAAATGTTTTGGCAAAACTGTCCACTCAACATCTTTCTCTGGACAGTGGTTTGGTCAGTTGAAATACGGATCACTACAAGTTCTCGTCTATATCCGTGAGACTTTAAAAAGAGTTGAGCTTTGGGGTAAACTCTTTTGTAGTTGCCATTGAGTCAATTCCGACTCATGGCAACCCCAAAACTGTGTCAGAATAGAACTGTGTTCCATAGGGTTTTCAATGGCTGTGACCAAAAGCAGATTGCCAAGCCTGTTTTCTTAGGTGCCTTTGGGTGGGTTGTTGTTGTTGATTGAGAAATCCTGACTGAAGACAAATAGCAGCTAATCAGGGAACATGGCTATGAGTTCCTTTGCTTTAAATTTTGCATTTATTTGATAGCTCCTTTGCTATGATGTTTCTACACTATGTAATTCATACATACATGTTGCATTATTATTTTTTTCCCAAGGAAAGTAATGAATTGGGTTTTCACTTTTCCGTGCTTAAAGAGACGTGAAACCTAGGGACTTGGATACCAAGTGCACCTATTTGGAATTGTAGGTCCCTGATACCATCTTAAAATTCTGAAAGAACTAAGAAGCATATGCCAGGCAGGTCGTTTCACTTACAACAAACAGTGTAGTCTTTTAACATGGGAAATCAATCACTTACACATATATATATATATATATATGTAAAATATTTGACAAGTAATGTTTGACTAGATTTGATTATTAAGTTATTAACTTGATAAACTGTATTTTAAAACAAAGAATGCTTTTCCTGGTAGGTTCTGCCTCTCCTTGCACTGTACCAATACTTTGTTTCTGAAATTTGCCAAGACATAAACAGAAGCATAGAAGCAAGACTCCTCAAGGTATATCACAAGCTTTTAAGGCATTTGATATTCTTAAACTTTTAAGGATATTGTCATGCATTAAATGGGTTCTAACACAGTAAACAGTACTCATAATAATAAGCTATACTAACATGGTATTATATACTTGTATAAAAATAACTAACCCATTAGTATAATAAAATATAAGAAAGAGCTAATACAAAGGTTAATAATTTTATGCTTGAACCACAGTAATGTGAGGAATATTTACACCTGGAGACAAGGCTCAGCCAACAACAGTCAGTCTGGAGATCAATATTTCTGAGAGACTGACTTCCTAGTGGAGACCAATGAGTCAATTTTCTGACCGTTCTGTGAATTTATTGCTAGGGACCTTTACATATATCATGGTATACAAGTATTTTTCATCGCCAAGGAATTGAATTAACAAGACAAACAGCCGTTAGATAACAATTAATTATTTAACCCAGAAGTTGACTGAGGCTCTCTGCCTTAAAGATTCATGTGCAACTGGCTTGAACCCCATTTGGTGTGGGAACCCCAAGTACCTCCTGTTCTCTCTACCCACTTTCCTAGTCACCTATTATTGCAAGCTCCCACATTTCTTGCATTTGTTTTGTTCATGAATCATCTCAACATCCAGCAGGTTTGCTGCCTGTTCTGTACCTCATCAATTCTAATATGGGATTCAACCCTCTCCCATGTTTCACACACACACACACACACACACACACACACACACACACACACATGCACACTCATCAGCCATACATAATTACACACAACATATTTATCAAAGCCATTTAGTTCTATAGTTGACTTACTGAAAATTGGGAAGACAGGGAAATTTAAGTTGCAGCAAGACAAATAATTTAAAGTAGAATATTTGACATCCATGAGCTTAAAATGTTTCTTGGCCCGTATCTCAAGCTTTTGCTTCTCATCCGATAGCTTAATCAGCTGTGTGTTGGTGAATGTTTCACAATTGGCTCTCAACAACAACAATAACTGTCACCCTGATTTGTAGCAATTGAAATTCCTGTGGTGTAAATACCCCCACTATGGCTGACTTCAGGCTACCAACTGGATGTCACTGAACGCAGAGTTGTGACAAGATATAAACAGTTGGCTCTTGCAGTTGGGTGTGAGTGGGTTCCAGCATGCAACTGGCTTAACTCCTTTTTTGAAATACGCTCCACCCACCTTCTTTAAATCCTTCCCATTTTCTAATGAGAGAAAATTAGATTTCTCTTTGAACTGCTCTTTCCATCCAGACCCTGCCCTTGGGCCTGTATTTTCAGACCCAAATAGTCCATTGTTGTATTTCTAAATGCAAACAATAAGTTTCCTAGTAGGAATTCTAGCACTGACTATTAAGATAATATACTTTACCCCTGGAGTAAATAGATAATTTGTTATTGGCTATGAAAATTTCTGGATCACCATCTCTGAGTTACTCAGCTCTTAAAAGTTCTCTTGCTTTTGAATTCCAACAACACTTTTTTTTTTTTGTAATTGCATATAACTTTTCTCTCCTTTATCTTTTTTTAGCCACTCTCTCTCCAAGACTGCAAAATTCCTGTGGGCAGGGCTTGTATCTTATTCATCTTTTAATTCTCTATAGGGTCTAGAGTAATAACTTAATAAAATTGATGCTCAGTGATTAAGTACTGAATTTAATTTAAAACCTGTAGACTTTCATCAAAAATATCTACTCTGCACACTGTCCTTAGTGTTTAGTGGGAATTCACCTAGAAGATACTTAGTAAATATTTGTCGATTTAACTCTAAAATAACATTTATTGAGTACCTTCTATTTAAAAGGATTCTGTTAGTTGCTAGGAATACAAAGAAATGTAATACAGGTCTTTGCTTATAAGGAAGTGAAAACTAGGAAGAGAGACAAGGTGTATACTTAAGACAGTAAATTATGCACCTGCCACTTAATAACTTTCAAACGAGTGTGATGAGCCCTAGGTCTCCAGGGGTTCAAAGAAGGGAGAAATGACTTTGGGTGTTTACGTTTCACTAATTAGGTAAGATTTCAACTTGAAAAGAGTAAAATTAACAGAGCAGGAGAGAGAAGGAAGAGAAAATTCTCATAAAGACAACAGTGTGAAAGATAAAGAGGTGAGAAAGTATTGACTTGTTTGGGGGCAGGTGTGGTTCAGTGGAATGGCATGGAGCGGAGGTTGGCATGGCCAAATTGTAAAAGATAACATGAGATAACATGAGAATACCAGGGGTGTAGGATACAAAGGGCCTTAAATTTTAAACTTCAATAGAAGTAATGTGAACATAGGGCAGTGACAGAAATTAGGAGATTGTGGATTTAGAATTGGGCCACAGATTTAGCTTGGTCTATCATCCAAGGGGCCAGAAGCTTGGTCACCTTGTCTCCTTTGTTGCAATGACCATTAATAGTACGTCAGGAGGAGATCCAGAGAGGTACTAAAGATACAATCTAGAACACACCTTTGCTAGATGACTGTTTTTTTTTTATTGGATCGTCAGTACTTGGCAGTTGTTTTTATCTGATAATAGCTTTAAAAGCCACTGAAGTACTGTGGACTCTGTTCTGTAGCCTTGAGTTGGGAGAGGCAATTAATTACAGAATTTTGGTCAGGAAAATGACATGATCAGATGTATCTGATAACAGTGTTGGGAGCAGAGTGAAATAGAAGTGGGGTCTTACTGGCATGGTAGGACTGAAAAACTGGACTAGGGTTTTGACAGAATCCATGAAAAAGGGCAAGTGATGGATTGTACAGAAGAAGAATTAACAGCCCATGTGAGCAGGGTTTGTCTGATCTTTATGAAGTAAACTGGGGTCAGTGAGTGGGAAGAGAGAAAGTCAGAGTCAGGAAATAGCAAGCAATGAAGCTTTCTGACAAATCAAACAGTAATAGATCACATGGTTAAGTTTCTATAGTGCACAAGTGTCTTTCAGGGAAAGCTTGAGGACCTATTTACAATCAGCTGGTCTGGCTTCACTTTAGAACCACCAACATCTTGAAAGATTTATTACTCTCAGCATGTCAAATGTTCCGAGAAAGGGTACTGACAGTTCTGTATTTGTGTGAGTGAAGAGTTGATTAATGGGTCATTCTTTTTTGCCATCTGGCTTGTTTGCGTTCACAGTGTTGGTCACTACTGAAAATTTATGTCCATTATTATCATCATTGTTTCTTCAAATGGTCAGATTGGTACAGTAAACTCAAACCAGGAGACCACATGGAGTGTTGGACATAATTTGTGTAGAGCAATCTTATACTCAAGATCAGACGAGACACACCAAGACAGATACGGAGAAGTGTTTCCTCATAGGTATAATGAGCAAATGGTCATCTAGTGACTGAAAGAGTTTGTATGTCTAAGTGCCTAGTTTGATGTTATATGGAATTGGAGATATTAGAGCCCAAGATGCTTTAGCAGGAACCGAAGTATACAATTCAGTGGACAAGTATTTTCTTCTTTCCATTAAAAATATTGTGCTGACCTTTTATGTTATATTTTCATGATATTTTCACATCCTATCATCCCCTAACTTACCTTCTTTTTAGGTTCTTTAAAGTCCATGCATCCTTGAGATTCCTAAGGTACTGCTGAAAGGAAGGAGAGAGTAAGATGGATAGATATGTTGAAAATAGATTTTTCTTTTTTGTTTGTTTAATAAAATTATACATATGTGTATATATATATATGTATATATATACAGGTGGTATGTATGTTTATATTTTATATAGTTTATATTTTTTACATTTTATATTTTTTACATTTACCCTTCTCTATTCTCTACAAAGTCACTAGATGTTTTCAAAATATTAGTTAGGTTAAATTCAGAATTCTCCAATTGCACAGAGAATTCAATTCATAGTTCTCACTCTGGTCTGCAGGCTACATGCTGTCTTCCTTGACCACCATTCACACCCAGCTGCTAATCCTTTTCCTCTTGCTCTGTGAGCTCCCACCACACAGGTTGCTCCTTGAGCACACCAAGACTCGAAGACTGCTCCTGTCTCATGATCTTTGCACTTCCGGTCCCCTCAGTAGAATGCTTTTCCTCCAGATTTTCACATTGTTCTTTTTCTCAAGTCATTCCCAAATGTGCTCACGAAGTTTTCCTCCTCAGAGGTTTCCTGACCAGTTTTGAAAATAGCATTTTGTCAATACCTTCTACCGCTTCTCATAGTGTGTATATTTAATGTATCACTTAAATATATCTAAACATACATTCCCCCATGCCTCTGTCAGTTGGTCCTACTGTGGGGGCTTGTGTGTTGCTATGATGCTGGAAGTTATGTCACCAGTATTCAAATACCAGCAGGGTCATCCATGGTGGACAGGTTTCAGCTGAGCTTCCAGACTCAGACAGACTAGGGAGAAGGACCTGGTAGTGTACTTCTGAAAAGAATTAGCCAGTGAAAACCTTATGAATAGCAGTGCAGCATTGTCTGATATAGTGCCAGAAGATGAACCCTTCAGGTTAGAAGGCACTCAGAAGATGACTGGGGAAGAGCTGCCTCCCCAAAACAGAGTCTACCTTAATGATGTAGATAGAGTCAAGCTTTTGGGACCTTCCTTTGCTGTTGTGGCGTGACTCAAAATGAGAAGAAACAGCTGCAAACATCCGTTAATAATCGGAAGGTGGAATGTACAAAGTATGATCTAGGAAAATTGGAAATCATCAAAATGAAATGGAACACATAAAGATCGATATCCTAAGCATTAGTGAGCTGAAATGGACTGGTATTGGCCATTTTGAATCAGGTAATCATATGGTCTACTATGCTAGGAATGACAATTTGAAGAGGAATGGTGTTGCATTCATTGTCAAAAAGAACATTTCCAGATCTATCCTGAAGTACAGTGCTGTCAGTGATAGGCTAATATCCATACGCCTACAAGGAAGACCAGTCAATACAACTATTATTCAAATTTATGCACCAACTACTAAGGCGAAAGATGAACAAATTGAAGATTTTTACCAACATCTGCACTCTGAAATTGATTGAACA